TTGCCCATTCCCCCCCAGCACATCTCAGGACCCCCCAGCACTGTGTTTGCTGCCTTTTCACCCCTCTGGAGCTGCCCTGTGCCCAGAGCAGGCCTGCAGTCAGCACGTCCCCGTGTGGGGCTGAAGCAGGAGGGCCTCAGGGGGAGCGCGGGAGGCTAAAGGGGATCATAGAGCAGGGACGGGCCGTGCTGGGCTAAAACACGGATGGAGGACCAGCAAGGGGCTGAGGGGGGCTTGCTGAAGGGTCTTGCTGAGTTGTGGGGCCGCATCGAGATACTGAGGAGCGAAACCCCGCCCTTCTGCGGCCGCTCCCTCAGGCGGCACAAGGAGCGTGGAGGACCCAGCGCTGCGCCCTGCCTTCCCGGCTATAGAGTGCGCGTAGAGCGCCCTCACACCGCTTCCGCCGGCCATCTTGGGTGCGGGCAGTGAAGTTGCCGCAGCTCTCTGGCCGCACATCGCGCTGTTTGGAGAAGCGGCGGAACGCCGCACCGCATCTGCGAAACGGGCGTGAAGCCCGAAGAGCTCGCGTCGTGTTTACCCTCCTCCTCCACCACAGGTACCGGCTCCGTTCGAGCCGTAGTAGCGAATACCCCTCGCACCGTTGTGGGGGCAAAGCGCGGCAGCGGTGCCCTCACCCAAGATGGCGGCGGGCCGGGGGCGGGCTCTCCCTCAGTCCCTCTCCCCCTCTCTCTCAATGCCCGCGCAGAAAATGGCGGCAGAGCGGAGCGGGACCCCGCGCACAGCGCCCCCCGGCCGCCCCCCGGCCGCCCCTCAGCCCGCAGCATGAGCCGCGCGGTGCGGATAGCCCGCTTGGCGCCGCGGGGCGGCAGGCCGGCTTCTCTCCTCCTCCTTCCCACCCCTCGGGGGGCGGCGATAGCGGCGGGGAGGAAGAAAAGGATGCCACGGAAGCCGCCGTTGCCTTACAAATCTGTTTTTCCTCCTTTCCGAGCTGCCAAGGGGCTGCATGACGCCGCGGCGATGAACGCGGCCAGGAGCGGCTATCGGGTTTTCTCGGCTAATTCCACGGCGGCCTGCACCGAGCTGGCCAAGCGCATCACCGAGTAAGTGAGCCCGGAGCCGGCGGGCGGCCGAGCAGCTGCGGGACGGGGAGACTCGGTGCGATCCGCCCGTCCGGAGCCTTCGTCCAGCCGCGGAGCCGGTGTTTGTTTGGGCGGGGAGGCGGTGTGAGGCTGAGCCGGTCGCTGAGGGCGGCGGGGAGCCGTGGGGTTGGGCTGAGGGGTTTCTCGGCTCACGGCTTTTCCATCAGAGCGACGTGCGTTCGGAGCGCGCGGCCCCAGCCTGCGGCGGGTCGGTCGGTGGAAATGGGCAGCGTGTGCTGGCGAGGAGGAGTTGAGGGGTAGAAGCGTGTCTGTTTTTTTTCCAGGCCGTTGCTTTCGCCTTGGTTCGGTAGGAGTTGACGTGCTGGGCCCTGCTCCGTTTGTAACAACGCTGCGTGCAGTGCAGCTGAGAGCTGGATTCCCACTGTTGGGTTGGGTTGGTTCACAGAATCACAGAATGGCCAGGGTTGGAAGGGACCTCGAGGATGATGAATCTCCAACCCCCTGCCACGTGCAGGGCCTCCAACCTTCCCACCTAATGCTAGACCAGGCTGCCCAGGGCCCCATCCAACCTGGCCCTGAACACCTCCAGGGCTGGACGGGGCATCCACAGCCTCTCTGGGCAGCTGTTCCAGCACCTCACCACTCTCTCTGTAAAGAATTTCCCCCTGACATCCAACATAAATCTTCCTTCCCTCAACTTCAAGCCATTTCCCCTTGTCCTGCTGTTATCAACCCTTTCAAACGTTCCCCTCCTCTTTGTAGGCTCCCTTTAGGTACTGAAATGCTGCAATGATTCACCCCACAACCTTCTTTTCTCCAGGCTGAACAAGCCCAGCTCCCTCAGCCTGTCTTCATATGGGAGGTGCTCCAGTCCCCTGATGGTCTTTGTGTCCCTCCTCTGGACCCTCTCCAACAGCTCCCTATCTTTTTTGTACTGGGGGCTCCACACTTGGATGCAGTACTGCAGATGGGGCCTCACAAGAGCAGAGTAGAGGGGAACAATCACCTCCCTGTTCCTGCTGGCCACCCCTCTTCTGATGGAGCCCAGGATCCCATTTGCCTTCCAAGCCACAAGGGCACACTGCTGGCTCATGTTAAGTTTTTCATCCATCAGGACCCCCAGGTCCTTCTCCACAGGGCTGCTCTCAAGGACCGCTCCTTCCAGTCTGTATGGATGCTTGGGATTCCCCTGGCCCAAGTGCAAAACTCTGCACTTTGCCGTGTTGAACCTCATCAGGTTCACCCATGCCCACCTTTCTAGCCTCTCGAGGTCCCAGTCCCTGCTGAAGGGGCTTTTCTAGGAAGCAGGGATGTTTTTTTTTTTGTTTTTGTTTGTTTTTTTTGTAGGTTGCTATTTTAAAGCTGGACATGTGCTTCCTTTCTGCTTTTGGTCAGATACAGCTGCTCCCAAAATTAAGAGGCCTTTATGCTTGTTGCTCTGGTGTGGAGGATAGCATCCTTACCACTGTCAAAGCAGCTGTCTGCTTCCTGCTCGTAGGGAGTGCTCAAACTGGAGGTAGTGCTGAATACTGATAGTGCTGCTGCCTTAAACTGCGAGAACATCTTGCTGCTTCTCCAGCTGGCTCAATAAACAGCACATTCAGTCTGTAGCACAGGTAATCTGCACAAAGCTGACTGTGCTGTTTGGCAGGGATCACTGGTGTTGATGGGACATGTTGGATAATAGTGACAAGCTCCTTTTATGTGAGGTGAGGAGGCAAATCCTTGTGCTTGGCAAGGTGTTATTGGTTCATAGGTGGGTTTGTTCTTTTGTTGTTGTTGTTTTTGCTGTATTTGGTCAGTTTTATATCATTTTCCCTTCACTGTTAAAACTCTGAGATCTGTGTAAATATGTATTTTTAAAAAAGAAAACATTTTTGCTGCAATAGATGGGATGTGGGAAGGCCTGTCCTGTTGCGTCAATGCGGGATGTAACAGAAGTCCCCTGGGGATAGGGGACGAGCTCCAAGTTCTCAGGACAGAAAGAGCAGAGAGGCAATCTTTATTCTCCGTTCTCTGTCTCAAAAATAACTCGCTTTCCTCTAAAGATGTAATGTGAAAAGACGCAGAGCAGGCTTCCTCAGGCTGTGGCACACAGCTGGCTGCGTGATGTCCTCTGTTTGCACTCACTTTTCCCTGGCAGCTAGTGAGTTATACGTGAGGTTTTAAGTGTCTGGAATTCCTCCCAGCCATAGGGAAGCACAGGTGCTCCCAGGTGTGGACCCCTGCAGGTCTTTCAGTGATGCTCTGAGGCTGAACAGCAGCAGAATCCAGAGTGGCCTCCTGGCTGTGCTTCATGATCTAAACTTCTGATAGAGGCAAGATGGGCTCCTTGCCTTGGCCATAGCAGTGGTGAGGGTGCTGGATGCTTGAGCAGAGGTATGAGCACATGAATGTGTTGCACAGCTACTGCTTCAAGTGGGACTTAAATCCTTACTGTCTGTAAAATGAGGACAGTTATCACTCAGATGGAAGTGTCAGAGGTCACCTGTGAGAGGAGCTTTGTTGGAGACAAATGTAAAACCTGCAACTTTGAATAACGTGGATTTGTCCACAATAAAAAAAATAAAGTCTCCTGGAAACTCAATGGTATTTCTCAGCCTCTCATGCTGTAGTTTTGTATTAACTTCCCTTAAGAGCTCAGGAGCTGTTTCAACACGTTTGTAATGCATCCCTTGTTTTTTCAGGTTGCAAAAGATGTGCGACTGCTGGCTTTGGCTTCCCACTGTGTCCCTTCCCAGCACGTACTTTGCTGGGGAGGTCAGTTGCACCTTTTAATAGAGTTGGAGCAGTCCTGTAAGGGTGAGTCTGTCATCTAATATTGTGCGTTCTTTTAAAAGTTAGTTTTTTAAATGACCTTCAGTGCAAATAGTAAAAGAACTTTAAAATAACACACAATATTAGGAGTTGGGCTGGTTGTAGGATGAGGGCTAAAGGCTTGCTTCAGGTTTTGTTTTGAGCTTTTGTTTCTGTTAGTTTATGCCAGGAAGAGGAGCTGGTGCTGACTCATGGGAGCCAAACGCTTTGTGAGAATTCTAATAACTTCTTAGAGTCAGGATGACTGAAACATAAATAAACCCTGTGTTTTCCCCAATCTTGTAAATTGATTGGGACTCTTTGTTTAATCCTTTCCCTGAAGGAAGGAAAACTCCTGCTGTAATTAGGACGCTTGGCATCTGATTACAAGCTGCATCTGCTAGGAAGAAAGATAATTTCTGTGAATAGTTCTTATCTCTGATGGACCTTGTGCCCTGCTGGGGAGGGAGAGGGAGGTCTTACCAGCATGAAGTCTGTAACAGATGAATTTAGATCTCCCTCTAGCTGCAGTGTTTGGCACGCAGAGTCTAACTACTGCATTCCACTTGCTGCTTGGTGTTTTTGGGTTGGAGTGGATCTGATGATTGAAGCTTGCTGATGTGTCCCCACTGCTCCTGCAGGCCTGTGTTGTTTAAGGACGTGGTGTCATACACTCCTTGCAGGCACTGAATATTCTACACATGCATTTGTTTGCAGCACAAAATATGCTGGTGGTCTAAAGGTGAAGGCAATACTGTAAACCTAAACAAAGCAGATTAATGAGGAAAAGATGGAGACCTTTATTCTGATCTTTGGTCACAGAGCTCTGTATGCAGCAGTGAAACAAGTGCAGTGCTTTCTGAGGCAGAGCTGAAGGCAAATCCTGCTTCTGGAAGAGATGATGTGTTAGGAGGAGTTGCAGTAACCTTTTTTGGCTGAAGGAAGGAGCGTTTTTGTTGGGATGGAAGAGAAGTGATATCATCCTGCTCTCTGTCTCCAGACTCTGCTCTTACTGTCTGGGAAGAGCTCGATTATGATCCAGCATCAGGAGAGGAGCTGGCACCAACTCCTTTCTGTCTTGGACACGGAAGCACTCGCTGAGACAGGAAACTGGTAGATATGACAAGGTAACATTGCACCAAAGGTTTTGTTTAGGCAGAGGGAAATGAACAGCCGGTCAGACAGTGTGGTTGGAGGGAGTTAGAGATGGGAACAGTGCTGGAGTAGGGGCATTGGTGAGCATGGAGTTGGGCTTTGAGGTTATCTGTGTGACTGAGGCATTAACACAGCTGGACAGACAGTGTATTAGCTCTTTGTGCTGACTGGTGCCAGGTGTAGGGGCTGCTCAATCTACAGAAACACACAAGTAAGAGCAGGGCAAAATCTATGCTGTGTGCATGGCTTTTGCAGTGGCTGGAACAAATGATGCACGTGCTGTGTACAAGTGGCAGATGATAGCATAAACTGTTCCAGAATCCACTTGTGCTGTGTGGATTGAGAGAGGTAAGAGAGGCTAAAAATGGTTATAAGGTTTCAGAGCAGATTGCTGTGTATCCAGAACAGTGCTTTGTTTCCTTCCCTGGTCCTTGAGGGAAGAGGTTAGGAAATACAATCCAGAATTGCTGCTGTGTTAGCTGGGCAAGTTGTCTGTGATCCTTAAGGATTTGCTTCAGTTTGAAACAAAACACTGCAAGTGAATTTACATCTTGTGTTTTGATTCATCAAGTCTCTTTAATTGATTGTCCTTTGTCTCAGGAGCCTGGTGCTGTGGTTTCTGACCTCCTTCAGAGGAGCACTTTAAAGGCTGATATAGAAGCTGCAGTCCTGCAGTGTGTTGCTTCCTTATTGAACTACAAATGGCTTCTGGGCTGTTCACATTTAAACTGCATTGAACACAAGTCTTACAGTCACTTTTGTATCCACAGCTTAATATCCTCTTGGCACCTGCTGAGACTTTAGGAAGTTAGATCATAGCAAGGGATATTACAAATCAATATACATTTTTTACTAATTGTGTTGAGTAAATATTTTTTAAAGCCATAAAAAGAGATTTTTCTCTTGCGTTCCAGCAGGTCCCAGAGGAACTGAGTCAGTGGCAGAGCTGGTCCAAGGACTGCAGGGCAGCAGGGAGTGAAGCTTTGCCTTTTAGGAGCTGTGAGTCCCTGCATAGTGAAATCCTGAATGGAAACAGCATTAAAATCTTGAAGAGGCGGAGCAGCCTGGAGCAGCAGCATCTTTTCACAGGGCTTGGTGGGCTGTACACAGCACATCCTACTTCTGAAGACTGCTGTTTTTAAAGGCAAAGCCAACACCAAACCAAGTTCCCATCTCTGGGGTGGAGAAGTGAGCTTTCAGAAGTGTGCTTGTGAGCCAGCAGACATCAGAGCACAAGTGAGATTTCTGCAAACAGCGTGAGATCAGCCTGACCATTTTCCAATCTTAAATACTTGAGTATCAGCAAAAGGTTCTCTAGCCAACTACTGCACCATGTCATAGTGCTTTTACTGATGGACCTTACTTTGCTTGAAGACCTGTTGTAGCTACGGTGTCTGAAGTATTCTTTTTGGTAGAACAAGCTATAACTTTCTGCTGCTTTGAGTGCCCTGAGTGATGGTGGTGGCTTTCCCTAGTGAAGATCTGCTTGTGTCTGTGGTCACCTCGATCTGGTGGTTCTGACAGCCCTTGTTCATAGGGCTGTGCTCATGCAGCCACGTGCAGAAGTTTTTGCTGTAGGTTTAATTCCTCTGTTGCCTAAAGCAGTGAGCACATTTGTGAACCTCTGCAAGGAGGCAATTTAGAGGGCACGGAGCTGGGAATGGATGTGAAAAAGGGAGAGGTGATGGGAAGCGGAAGCTGTTCTTTGGTCTCTTACCACAGTAAGAGGCTGTTTGGTGATGCAGGGTGTGCTCTGCCCTTGGCTTCCTTGTCAATCTTCCTTTTGACCTAAGTCCCATGCAATTTGCTGCTTTACAGCAGGAGCTGCAGGGACAGCCCTCCACTTTTAGTAGCCTGGACTAAGTCTAGTTTTTATCAGACTCCTCCCTAGGCTGAAGTCTCTGATTGTGCAAAGCCTTCTGCATCAGATAGAATGAAAGGTGTGCCCCGAGTAAACACACCTCAGCTTGGAGCACTTTGGAACTGCCTGTTGGTCCTTTTGCTGTGTCTGCAGCTCAGATCATCACAGAACGCTGCAGGCAGGGTTGATATATGACCTTATGGACAGTTTTATCTCATATCCTTCCCATTGCTGCCTCTCTTGTTTATTTGCAGTCAACAGTTGGAGCAGACATTTTATTTATTATCTGGTCAGAGCAATCTGCTACTGCTTGTGCCAGTTGGCAGCTGCTTGCTGTCTCTTCTGCTGTTATCTGCACCCAGCTTTGATAAGCTGAGCTGTTTCCTGAGTCCCTCTTTCCATCAGGAAGCAAACGTGCCATTCCTATTTCTTGCTTCAGCAGCACAGAAGCTGCATTGCTGTTGTGCTGTCTGAAATGAGGAACGCAGGGCTTTTGTTTCTTCTCCAGCATGGTTGGGATCTTTCCAGCTACATCCTCACCAAGTGTCACAAACACTGAGCGTGCCACCACTGGGGGGTGTTTTGCAGAGGTGTTTCCAGCTGGATGGTTCCTGCAGCTTTCCCTCCTGTCATGAGCTGCAGGGCTGACTAAGGGCATCTGCATGTTCTGCTTAATAGAGGATTTTTCCAGCAGTGCAGTGAAGTCAGTGCCTCCAAAGGGAGCTTGTGAGACGTGCTGTGTGGTCATGGAGGAACGAGTGAATCATTCAGTGTTTACCCACACACTGATTTGTTTTGTGTTTGATTGTCCAGCTTGTTTCAACTTGGATTCATTAGCAGTGATTGGGCTGCACCTTAATGTTTGCAAATGGGTCACTCTTACCAGAAGGACTGCAGGATCCCAAGGGGGAACAGGGAGTGTCTGGTAGGTCTATGTGCAGACTTCACCTTTGATGTACACAGAGTTGGTCCTGGAGATCCTGGGGCTTGGCTTTGTGTTCCTGCTGCTTTCCACAGCATGGGGCAGGTGAGAGAAGCTGTAGTAGAGGTCTGGGTGGACTTCTTGCTCTGGACTGCACAGCACCTGCATGTGCTGCAGTGGGTTCCTGACCTGGGCTGGGTCTGCAGGTAACCACCCACATACAGAATTTACTCACCAGCCTCAGTCTTGGCAAAACGTGCTGCCAAACATGTGCACCAAGTGCTTTGTAACCAGTGCAGCAAGCATGTTGTGTTGGAGTTTCTGTTGTCACTGCTGTCCTGGTCTCATCGCTTTCTAGGACAGCTTCTGGCTGAGGTTCCCAGCCTGGGAGCTCACAGCTGAGTCCAGAAGCCACTGGTTGGTCAGCAATATGCTGGTGTTGAACGCACCTGTCTCTAAATAGGTATTAATGCATTACTTGTCAGCAGGGTTAAATACAGAGTGTCCCCTGAGGATATAGTTGGGACTATAGAGTGTTTTAAAATTCTCTTCAAAATGAATCATTATTATAAAACAAATGCATTTAAGCAAAATAAAAGAGGGCTGCTCCTGCTGCTCAGGTGGAACCTGGGCCCAACCAGTGCTGCTGCCCAAGGGTCAGCGACTGGCATGGATGGAAAGCAGTCACACAGGACGTGTGTTCAGGCAGCTGAACCCGTGAGTGCATGCCTATATGAATGGGGAAGCTGTGTTGCTCTGCAGCTCAGCTGCTACATTTGGGTCCTCATTAGGCAGTACTTTGCTTTGTCAGTGTGCAGACAGGTGGGCTCGTCTGCTCTGCATGGTGATCTGCTCAGTGCTTCCAGTTTTAATTTCCTTTTCTCTCTCCAGGCGTCTTGGTGCTGAGTTGGGGAAATCTGTAGTGTACCAGGAAACCAATGGAGGTAAGAGAACTTTTTAGTACTTGCAAGCCTGTTCTGGGCTCATTTTAGCCATACATCTGTTGGCCAAACCTGCCTGGTAAGTGCAGTGATTCATCTGTGATGTTACTGCTGCTCCTGGCAGTGCTGAACTTCTGTGTTTAACCTTAGTTGAACCAAATAAGTGTGTTCCTTGATTTCCCATATGACTTTGTTTCCTGCCTGTCAGCTGTCTCATCTGACATAGATTCATCCCTCAGCTGTTAGCTGCTGCAAAATACATGCTGTTGTGCTTAGGAAACTGTCTTCTAGGTTGAAGTAATGGCCTTCTTTCTAAATGTCTGCCTTTCAAAATTTAAGTCATTCCCTACTCCTAGTCCTCCCCTTACTGCAGGCAGGTTATGGGCCACCTGTTTCTCTTTCAAGAGAGCAGGTGTGTGGCTGTGCTGGAGGCTGTGCTTCCAGAAGGTTGTTTTCATCCCTTTAAGTGTAGCAAGTGCCCATTTTCAGATATCCTTGCTGGGCTGAAACGCAAGGATGCTGACTGCCAGAAACAAGCAGGCGGTGTGTAAACTTCTGTAGCTGTGTGTGGCTATGATGGGATTGTCTGTTCATGCTACTGAGAGTTTCCTGCCCTCTGGGGTTAGTTTTAAATCAGGCTGCTTGCTTCGAGGCCTGAAATCGTTCCTCACCACTGCACAGCAGATCATTCTCCTTTCATCAGAGTCCCTGAAGGCTGCTGCAGATGTCTGGACGATTAGATCCTGAATTCTCTGGCTTGGTAGATCTCTTTCCTTATCCCTGCCCTCTGGCTCACAACTGTGTGGGTGATGAGTGGCTAAGGAGGGCCCCTTGGAAAACCTGGTGTCAACCTGGTGGGCTGTGCTGAGCTGTTCCAGGTTCTTGCTTTGAGTGAAGGCTATAGGAAGTAATTTCAGCAGACTCAGATTTCCTGCTCATGTCAGTGTTGAAATATCTTCTCCTTAGTAGTGAAGATGGGGAGACCTCTTTGTGAGCACTGCTGCTGGTGTGGTAGGCTCTCCAGCCTGCACAGAGCTGGCCCTGTAAGCTGCAAATGAGCCAGGTTAACCTCCTGGTACTACTAGGGGATGTTCTTTGCATGGTTCATTGTTACCTAGTGAATGTGGTACTGATAGCTTTCAGCATAGAGCACAGAGAAATGAAAAGGATCTCTCATTAGGAGTTAAGTAATGGTAACAACATTTTAGCCTAGTTTTGCATAGTAAATATAGCTAACTCACCAGTATGTGATGCCAGCTCCTTGCTTCCCAGGGCTTTTGGAAAATCCACTTAGCTCCCCTTGTATGCATGGTGTAAATGTGTGCATGTGGGGAAAAGGAGCAGTTCCTACTGTCTTCTCTGTGGGCCAAGTTTCCTTTTCACTGGAAATATGACATTTGGGAATAAAACTGTGGTTTTTCATCCTTTCCAGAAACAAGAGTTGAAATAAAAGAATCTGTCCGGGGACAGGACATCTTCATTATACAGACAATCCCCAGGTAAGGGATGTATGACTTAATGTCATGACAGTGATGTGCTTTTGATTTCTGGTTCAGCTGATGGCCCTGGTTGGCTTGCTAGCCATTAGCTGGCATGCCAGTGTCTCTATCCAGTATTGTTGTTGCTTTGACTTAATTTAAGACACAACATAGTGTAAAGCTGTTAAAAATTCCAGAGGATCATTTGCACCATGGTGAGCTGAGAAGCTTCCCATCAAATAGCATGTGTGTCACCTGAGGCAAGTACAAGTATGATGGATGGGTCTAAATGAAACATCCCTGGTCTGTGAGGTGCTGTCCTTGTAGGATCAGTTCCTTGGTGATTTTTGACTGGTGTTTTCATTTCAGGATGTGTAATTTCCTCTGCCTCAGTTACCTAGCAGCAGAAACAGCAATGAACATCAGTGGTAGCTCTTGTTACAAGCTGGATTGCTCTTCCTCTTTCACTATAGTGATGTAAAACTCAGATGGAAACCCTCAGCTTCCCTTCTCTACTCTTGCAGTTCTTAATGATGATATGCTGTTTTCAGAGATGAGGTATTGGTACCAGGCAAGAATAAAAGTATTCATGCTGTGATAGCATTCTCCAAGCTACCAAATTCTGCTCAGCTTTTGGAGATCACAAGGTATAATAAGTACCAGAATTCAAGCAGGTAGTGAAATAACCTGGAAACCAATATTCTCCCAGCTTGCTTAAGAAGTACAGTCCACTGAGAATTCAAGTTCATTTCCTCTTTGTAATGCTTGGCCTGTTTCTAAAGAAAACAGTAGGACTACAAGGTCAGCTTGCTCCCTCCTGGAGTGCCTCTTGGAGGCTGAGACACTTTCCTAGAGCTCCTCTCTCTTGAGAGATTATTTTTTTTTCTTGAGTGTTTCCTCCCCCAGGGAGCAGCTAAATCTCCATGAGATGAGAACCCGCTGATGCAGGATTGTGTTTCAGGTGAATGGTGCCATTCTGTCCTCCCTGGGGAGAGAGTTCTCTGAAATAACTTGTAACTGAGAGCTTTGTAAACATGAGACAGGTAAGGTAAGAGAGATAACAGTCTAACAATGATTTTTGGGAGGGGAAAACCTCTTCTGCCCTCAAATTGTCAATCCCTTTGTTTTTCTGTAAACTGAACTGAGTGTTTCCAGGTCAGAGAATGGGTCCTTTTAGCAAAAATGCTCAACTCCTCCAGATGACAAGCCACTGTTGTACAGACAAGTCATCTGTTATTCTTAAGCTGCAGCTGTGCCTCGCTGCATTGCTTGAGAGGACATGTTCAAGGACGTCTCCATTTTGCAGAGGGTTTTGGGAAGCTTTTAAATAGAGTAAAATCAACAGTTTTGGATAACCTGAAAGTAGGACTTCCATGCCTATTAGCAGTTTGAAAAGCAAACAAAATAGTAGGAATTACTAAGAAGGGAATAGAGAGGGGAAATAGCCTTGTTATGCTGCAGTGTGAATCCACAGTCTGCAGCTGAAGTGCACAGAGAGAACAGAAAGACCCAAATATTTGATACAAACTCCCTGTCCAAAATGAATATTGCAGAAGTAAAGTAGTTACAGTGACAGGTATCATTTGAGGCTGCTAGTGAGTGGGTTTGCATTTGTTTGAGGAAAAAATAAATAGCTTAGTGCTGTTTAGGCAAAAATAAGTAGCTTAGTACTGAGCAAGGGAAGGTAAGGGGGAAAATCTGCTAGAGATATTTGGATTTGAGTGGCCTGGAACAAGTCATAGAGGCTCTGCTCTATGAGAACAAGGAGGTGCCAGGTTCAAAACATACCAAAGAGGGGTGGTACTTTCCATTATGAATTGTTTAACCTCAGAATCTCCTTCCTGCGTAGTGTTGCCTGTACCAAGAGTGTGTCATATCAAAAAGCTGCTAGACAGATTGGTGGTGGTAGAGATGGGGAATATGTTGTGGACTATTAGGGACACAAAGAGCATTGACATTTCTCCTCCAGCACTCCCTGCTCTGGCACGTAGGATTATTGCTACCAGGATCCCACAACAGCACCAGGGCTGCTGGTACCTCTTGAAATGAGGGCAACATCTTACAAAACTCTGTTTTCTGGTCCTTCTGTTTTGTTTTAAAGTAACTTGAGAAGTGATAATAAAAGTATTGGATTTCAGGGATGACCTTCAAACAGGCTTAAAATTGGCCACTGTGTTTTTATACTGTACTGATAGCAGAATCTTTTTCTCCTTTCCCAGCCACCCTGGCACAACTGAAACAGCAAAGGGAAGAAGTGGTTCTTTGTTAGCTTGCTGTCCTATGTGGCAAGGGTTATATTTTATGTAATTCTTGGCTGGATGCTTCGGGGCCAACAGAGCTTTCTTGTGTGTGAGCAGCATTGTGCATGAGGGCTGCCAGAGCCAGCAGGAGAATAAAGAGACACAGAGCACGCAGAGATGAGGGGATGCAAATGGAGGTTAATTCCCAAAGGAATGGGGAGCAGTGGAGAAATGGAAGGAGTTACTGATTTGTGATGTGTCGCACACGAGGAGGAAGAAGTGTCTGAGATCTTGGGGTAGCCAGGAGCTACCACATCTGGAGGATAACAGTCTTCAAGCAGTGTGTGGGTAACTTCCAGAAAGCTCTGCAGGGCATGAGGATGCTCTGTGCTGCTCACTGCTCTGCTGCACAGCCAGGTCAGCTTCTGCTTCCTTACCTTGTGGCTCTGCAGCACTGCCCTCCTGCCCTGGAGATGTTGTTTGGGGCAGCTGGAAAACAAGCAAGGGTGGATTCTTCAGTTTCCAAATGATCTGGGGTTGCTCTGTGATAATGCAGACAATGTGTGGAATTTGGGCTTCCCTTGGTGTTGGTTATAAGGAATTAAAAGGGCTTGGCCAATATTTTTTTTTTTTTCCCTTTCCAAAATGAATTCAGATGGAGATTAATGCACTCCTGCCACACTGGTCATCGTGGTGAAGCTAACTGAAGATAGAGTTCTGTGTGTATTCCTTCTTATGATCTATATGTATTTTCTGCTTATGTCACTTATTTGTTCTCTTTCCAAATAAAGATGGTTGGGGTTTGTAGTGCTGCTGTTACTTTAATCACGAGATAAGTTGGTGGGGGAAAAAAAAAAAGGATTTTTTTGTTGTGGTGATGGAAGAAATCATGATACACCTCATCTCAGGATACAAAAACCAAATGCTGTTCCACAGCTTTTATGCTGGAGTCAAATTCTGTGCACACTGCAGCTGATTGCAGTGTGCTGTGGCACAACAGAAGGAGCTGTGGGATTACAATGTAGGTCTGGAATGCAGTAGCATAAAGTAGAGCACAATTTATGTGAAAGCTCGGTGAGGAGAAAGGGGTATGGGAGTACTATGAGAGAGAATTGCATTGGGGAAACAAAACCTGCTAATGTTTGGGATGATTTTGAAATCTCATAGGGATGTAAATACTGCTGTGATGGAGCTGCTGATAATGGCTTATGCACTGAAGACTTCCTGTGCCAGGAACATCATTGGAGTCATCCCCTACTTCCCCTACAGCAAACAGAGCAAAATGAGGAAGAGAGGCTCCATCGTCTGCAAGCTGCTGGCATCCATGCTTGCCAAGGCAGGTGAGTGCTGTGAGCATCCAGGGGGTGCCATCCTTCTGTTCTCCCATCAGATGTGCAGATGTGCTGCCAAACCTGTGAGCTCCTTTCTGGGAGATAGTTTTCCTCAGTTTATTCTTATTTCTTGAACTCATGGCTGGGGAAGTGGCCTGGAAGTGTCACGTTGAAATGCATTGTCAGTCTGGTGCTGTGACTCCTGTTTCATTCATACAGTTCTTATCACATCTTTGAAACTTCATGTTACCTTGTTAAGCTTATTTTAACACATGGCACGCTGGTCTGACTAATAATGGAAGCACTCTGCAAAGTGGAGATGTTTAAGGAACTCCAGCCACGTGGGAGTTGTCTCAATGAATTATTTTTTTTGTTCTTTTCTTAGGTTTAACACACATTATCACTATGGATCTTCATCAAAAGGAAATTCAAGGCTTCTTCAGCTTCCCTGTAGACAACCTGAGAGCATCCCCTTTCTTGATTCAGTACATACAGGAAGAAGTGAGGTTACTCTAGTTCTGTATATATCCACTTGTCTTAATGCAGTAGCAGAGTTGAGGTGCTGCTTATGCAGAGGTTGTGCTGTCAGGCTAGATTAACTGTTTTGTTCATTTTTATTCTTGATTGTATTTTTTCTTAGGGAATACTTCTTGCATGTTTCTCAAGGAAGTGGGGAAAATGTTATGTTAAATTAGATTGTGTGATTGTACTTGAATAGAAATCGAGTTCTTGACCATAAACAAAAGAGGAACTTGAGCCCTTAACTGAAATTCATTGCTCTCAATGGAGCTAGTGCCATTTGAGAGATGCTATCTGTGCTCCTGCCACTAATCACCTCTTAAATCCTGTTAAACTGTCTTTCCTCGCCCTTTGTTCTGCCTTGGATGTCTGACTGGTCTGAATTATTGATACACTTTATCTTGGGCTGTGCTCAGGAATGCTGAGCATGGGGGACCTGGGGGTGGAGGTTTAACCTTCCAAATGCACCAGATTATGACATGGTGGTGTGGTGAGAGCAGTGCTTCTCCATGTGGGGGAGCCCTGGCTTTGGACCTGCAGTGGGCCCATATCTGGTGCAATTCACTGTTTAACCACCCCCTTGCTCATTTTGAACACAAAACTAACACCTGCTCTGTGCAAGCTGAAGCCTTTGCTCCCAGAGCCTGTTGCTAAACCTTCCCTTTCCTGTGCTATGCCCTGCACCTCAGGCAGCTGCTCTTAGCACTGCAGGTGATCCCATAGCTTGTGGATGGCAGTAGTGAATGGAGGCACTTAACTGCAGTCTTGTACAAAGTAGGACCTGTGAAAAGATTACATCATATGTGGTCTTGCCAGTGTTAAACCTATTTGTATTGTGTTTTGCATAGAATATGCAGTGCTTGTGTTGAGAAGGAGTGCAATTGCTTTGCAATTCTTCTTACCGCGGAATGAAGATTTGGGGGTGGGGGAAGCTGTTCTAAAGCTACCTGTCAAATCAGTTATGCATTCTCAAGAAGATCTTTACTTAAATAGTTTTTTATCACATCCAGATTCCAGATTATAGAAACGCAGTTATTGTGGCCAAGTCTCCTGATGCAGCTAAAAGGTAAATAGATTCTTTACTAGCTGGTTAAAAATAGCTCAGAAAAAATCTGGGCTGATGAGGAATATAGTAGGGGGGAAATATGGGAGGGCGTGCAAACAAATCACCAATCTGATCCAAGAGGCTTTTGTTTCTTAAAACCACTGTACAGCCTTTGTTTGTCTGGTTGAGAGGGAGAGTTCTGGGGGAGTTCTGCTTCAATGAGCTGAGAAGCTGCAGCAGCCCAACATCTTCCTGACACGCTGTGCTTGTCCCACAGGGCTCAGTCTTATGCTGAGAGGCTGCGGCTGGGGCTGGCAGTGATCCACGGGGAGGCTCAGTGCACAGAGCAAGACATGGATGATGGACGTCACTCCCCTCCCATGGTCAAAAATGCAACTGTGCATCCTGGTCTGGAGCTGCCATGTAAGATTGAGCTTCTCTGCTTATCCTTGAGGGGAAAAAAAGAGGCTCTAAGGTATAATCAACCTAAGGACAGCTGGACGAGCAGATTTTTTTCTCATGGAAAGGTTGATGTTAGCAAATTGCTGGAGGAGGTACAGGGAGAAGTCCTTGTTTAACTCCTACTTGCCATGCAGAGCACCAGGATTGCTCCTGTTGGCTCTGACCAGTCAGCTGTGTCAGACTGACAAACTTCTGCTAGAAGCTTGCAGAATAATGAAGAACTCATTAAAATCAGAAAAGAAGTGCAAAAGTGGAACTAACAAGGGAACAGACATTGAGACAGGCTGCTGTCCCCATCTTGGAGGGATGGGTTGGCCTTTGCTTTCCCCTCTTTCTCCAGCCATCATTACTGCTGGAGGCTTTCTTTATCTTGAGAACCACACAGTCACCTTGCAGTATCTGTTTTGACATACTTTTGGTGCTTGTGTGGCTAGTGTGAGTAGGTTCTCAGGGAGCATTGTTGAACTGATTCCTTTGCTCTTGCTATCAATTGATAAGCTGCTGACTTGAGAGCATAGTGCAAAGAAAACAGCAGGAAGTGTATTCTGGGAAAAGTGGTCCTATTAGCATTGCTTGTATTCTTGCAACAGCAGCAGTCAAACAATAATAATACAGTCAGAATCCAGCTCCTGTTTGGAAGGATTTTAGTTTTCTAGGTAAATGGTGATAGGACAGAAATGCTGGGGGCAGTGAATGAGGCTGGGAACTGACTGTGGGAAATGCAGCATGCTGCTGTGTGTGATAAAGAGCTATCTATCAGGCAGCCCAGCTTGATTATACTGGTTGTGGCTAGGGCTACTGATAAGCAACTCCTCTTGTCTTTTGAAGTCTGGGGAGAACATCCAACCAGTTTGAGGACAAGCCAGGGAGGAGGAAGGCGAGTAAGACTGCAGGCATTTTACATTAGCCCAGTCCTGCTTGCCGTAATGAAATCAGTTAAACAAAGCTTATGTTGCTGGTGAAACTCCTCCTGGGCCTTGGGGGACAGGTGGGGTTTGGCAGTGATGTTTGGAACTTCATCTTGCTTGTCTCCTTTCTGATAGGAGATTTCTTCATGCACTTGCAGCAAAGCAGGAATTTGCATGGTTGCACTTGGCCTTTTGCTTCTTGTCCTACTCTGAAGGGGATTCCATCCTCCAGAGTGTCACATCTGTCTGCTGTCAGGGAATTGATGCAACTGTGTCTTTATTTCCAGCAGTGTCACTTGAAGGAATCTCAGCTGTGGAAGCTGGTGCTGCTGGACAACCCCATCAGTGTCAGCTCATGCAGAAATTTGCCTTTGTCCAACTCAGTTATGATTTCAGTGGGAGAATGTTTTCAGTCCTCAGCTATCCAAACAAACTAATTAGCTGTGTACCACCACTATTCATCTCCTGCAGAAGCTCTGCACTTGACTAATGACCTGAGGCACACATGTCAGACAATCAATCTGTAGCTCAGTAGCTGTCTGTCATGGAAGCAGGAGTGCAAGCTTGTCCAAAACTCTCTGAAGAAAGCTGTTTTTTATCTCCTGTTTTCTAATCTTACCAGGTGCCTGGTTTTGAGTGTGAGCTGGGCTCTGCTACTGGAGCTGCAGGATGCTGAGGCAGTACCTGTCTGAGGGCAGTCTGTAAACTGCTGCTGGATCCTACCTGTCTTTTATCCTCTGCCACCCATCTGTTACCTGTATGGCAGGATTGAGGATGGCAGTGCTGTGAATCTGTTAAACCTCCCTTCCTGTCTGATTCAATTGTTGGAAAGGTGGCTTCCCACCTCAAGTGGCACATTAAACAAAACCCTTGATCAGCTCTTCCTGTGTTATACCATCACCAGCAATCTCAGTGTCACAAGGTTTGATGGCAGAGTAAAACATGGCTTGGCTATGTGTGTGTTTGTGGAACTGGCCAAAAAAAACCTCTGGCTGCCAAACCAGTCAGTCTGCAGGTCTGCCTGGCTCAGGTGTCACAAACACTTGGGAAGTGGCAGTGCTCCTGGAGGGGTTGCTGAGACTGAGGGCCCCTCTGTGGACTGCATGGATGTTGGTGTGGAGCATCCTCCCTCTCTCATCTCCACAGTTTGGGGTCCCCAGGGGCACTGTCACAGCCAGAAATAAGGTAAAACTCAGGGCTGGGAGCAGTCCCAGAGTAACTTATGCTTTCTGCAATTCCTTGTGGGCTTTCTAGTGAGTTGGCTGGGCTCCTGCAGCTGGCACACACCTCTCCTCCCTGTCCTAATAGCAATCACATGCTTTTAATTAATAATTGTTATGCAGCATCGTGGCTTATTTATTGTCCTGAGAGCGTGACCCGATGTGATGCTCTGATCAGGTGGCATGTGGAGCTATTGCAGGAATGCCAGAGGTGTTTCCAGACACACTTCCTCAAGTGCTGTGCTGAAGTGGCAGCAGGAGCTCCAAGTGTTTGTCACTCAAATATCAGAAACCAGAGCCTTTGAGGCAGGATGCCACTCTGAGTTGTCCTCTTTGATCATGCACTGTGTGTCTTGGGGCTGTGCTGCAACAAATGTGGAAACTTTGCATCCTCATCTTAAAGAAAAGGTGCACAGTACCATCTGTTAATTTGTTTCAGTGGGTTGGAAATTTGGTACTTTCTTCACAGAGCCAGTGGTCAACTTCAGACCCAGAGCCCAGCAAGCTGCTGTGACAGAAGAGAGTTGGGTGGGAGAACTGGGATGATCCTGGGTCTGCTCCCACATTCTCCCTCCATCTCTTTTCCACGTTCTGGCTGGGGTGCAGGAATGTCACCTGTCCTTCCAGCTCTGTCTGTGTAACAGTTTTGGAGGAGCCTTTTGTTCCCAGGCTCTGTGGTCGATGCACTGTTATTTTATCCAGTGATGATTGCTTTAATACATGTGATGATAACGTTCAGCTCCAAACAGAAGTTCTTTTAGCATTCCTTAACCCATTTTTGACTGCTTAATTGAAGTAATGGGTTTAAGCACCTGGGAATTGTGCTACTTCATGCCATGATCATCTCACCTTCAACACGTGGTGCTTGGTGTGTATCACTCACAGCAGGGTGATGGTGCAGGTTAGGCTGATGGGCTTAATTCCCCAGCACCCCCATGTTCTTTAAATCCTTGTGCTGTAAAAATGATGGTTGTTTTCTCTTGTATTCCTAAAGCTATCAGTACAGCAAGCATCTGTTCTGACTTTCCAGGAAAAAATAGCAACGCTTTTGACCTAAACTCACGATAATCAAAGGGTTTTGTGTTTGGGAAGAGGCTGTTCTTCACTATTTGGAACTATTTTTCAAGCCACCTTCTTGTATCAGCTCTGATGGGCACACACACATAATGTCAAAAGATTTGGAAGAAAAAGAAGTTGGCCACAATAACCCTTGCATACACTCTCATCATGTTGCAGTGATCAAAGTTCTCTTGCAATTTGATGTGGTTGGTTGTGGGTGGATCTTGGCTTGCAATTTTTTTCTTTTCTTTGCAGAGAAAATTGAACAAGAAAAAGGGAGAACCTCTCTTTAGGATCCGGGTAGGTCGACACGTTGCCTACCATACTTTAAAAATAAAGCAAACTTGAAATACAGCCTTTAAAAGCAGACAAAAGATGTGAAGCACTGCTAATGTTGCTAGCTGCTTGGTTGGCCTTTGAGCATAGCAAGGAATGTATTTGCTTCCTTTATGGAATGGGAGGGTGCAGGTTTGCTGAAACTTCTATGATTGCCAGTAAAACAGTGCTGAATTTCAGTTCCCTATATCCATTAACTGTGGCTGAGAGTTTTCCCTGTGCTGGCTCTTGTAAACAGAGCTGGCACTCCTCTGGGTGCACACACAGGATGGAATGGCAGCCAGATGTAATCCTTTTGATTTTTTTCATAGCTCCCACCTGGAGTTTTGTTAATAACTAATCTGAGCAGGTAGGTAGTGCCTGTAATTGAAATTTATGGTCTGCTTATCTCTTCTGAAGCTTAATCCGAGTTTATTACAAGTTCTTCTCCTCCTCCTCATAAGAATATTTTCCCTTCAGGATTTAGACGTGACTTTGCATTTGATAAGAGACTCAAAAATAACAATGCAGAGGAATGTGCACTCCAAAGAGCAGTTAACCCTTAAGCTCTGGGTAGTTGGGGTGTTGTTTTGATTCATACTGCTTTGCAGTAACATTCCTCTGGACACAGCAGAGTGATTGGGTGCCTTTTATACAGTTCTGATAGGCATAAGGGAAACCAGTGAGCAGAGTACGTTGTGTACATGAAGCATAGCACTGCACATGAGTCCTTGGAGCTGTGGTCCTCATAACTGCTTTCATCACATCCCTCAGTGTGACTCACCCTGCTGTGCATGGACTGTGAGTGTTCCCAGGCACTGATGAGCTGTGGGAAGAGTACTGGATCAGCCTGCTGTGCAGGATGGGGAGTTTCGTGTAGGATTCTGACCCAGGAGGGGAGAAATCAGTGCTCAGACAAGGCTTTGTGATGGGCAGCAGCTCGTGTCTCAGGTGTGAATTATTGCATAGAAGTAGATTGTCTTATGATAGATAGCAAAATGTTTTTCCTAGGTCTAAAACTCCTCTGGATTCAAGAAACAATTGTGGTCAGAGTACTTGCAGGCCCAGAGTTCACGAAGAGGAACGTCCTTGGTGGGACACTTTGCTGCATTCCTTGTAGATAACACAAAGGCTGGGGGGTGCAGGCCCATGGGTGTTACAAAATGTGAGGTGTTCTTTGCTGCAGTGGTTAGATCAGCCCAGATTATCACCTGATGAAACTTTCATACCCACCACTGTGTCCTTCCCATGCTGTGAGTTTTTCTGCAGTGTTTACTGCATACACAAGCACCCTCTGGCAAGTGAGAGGCATGGAGTATATTGATAGCACGTCCCCATCCAGTACTGGAGCTGATCCCTGGCTGGCAGGAGTCTGAAGGCCATGTCACATCTGAACAGTGCTTCCTAGTTTGTACCTCCTTCCTTTTATTTTCCATGCTGCTGCTGAAGGTTTTTCAGGATGAAGGATAAAGGCTGTTCCATGTGTAGTTTTCTTGCATGAGCCTTGTCTGTGCAAAAGTAGAGTCAGGAAAGTGTGGAACCTTATTTCCTGGTCCATCTCTTCACTGTGTGTCAGCATAGCTCATCAACATATATTTCTGTTTCCACTTACTGGATGCATTGTGATTGTAGAACCGAGTTGGAACTGGATGTTATCCTGCTCTTTCTGTTAACTCACTTTAAAATATTCAGCAGATTCTGCTGCTGAAAGCTGCCTGAAGTTTCCTTTGCCTGTGCAGGTGTTGGTAAGGTGCTTCTATTATCTGAAAGATCCTTGCATGTTTGGTGATACCAGAGGAAGCAAGAAAGCTGCTGTCTGAGTCAAATCCTTGAGACAAATCAGTGAGCCCAGCCAGTGAAAAATGGAGCATTATAAACCATGTGCCCTTTGAGAAGTGTTGGGCAGAGAAGCCCATTTGTTGTTCCCATTCATGAGGCTCCTTTCCTCAGGTTCTGTTTTGGAGCACAGGCAGTCACTGCCATTACCCATAAGTGAGGTCTGTGTTGCAGCACTCTTGCACAAGGGTCTGCTAGATGTTTGGAACTGCTTTTGTAACAGAGATCAATAATTGGTCCCTGCAGAAACTGTGAGTTTCATCTTCAAGCAGCAGTGCTATTTATTTAAAGAGAAAGGCAGTGGTTAAAGCAGTGGTTACCCACTTTGGTGGGAATCAGGATGATGTAAAGCACATGTCTGTGCACCACTGTAAGACTCTCTGCTAAGTGAGGCTGTTGCAGTCTGATTCAAGGCTAACTGACTTCTTTTGTTTCTTTCTTCTTTAGTGATGATGGCCAAGGAGAAACCACCAATAACTGTGGTTGGAGATGTTGGAGGAAGAATTGCCATCATTGTGGTACGAGCATGATGGAGAGGAGTGGGTGGGGATGGTTTGCTTTCAGCATGTTTCCTTGAGCTGCACTGTCCCAGAGGATAGGAGGGACTGCTGGTGTGTGATGGGAATGTGATTGTTGCCGTTTCTTTCTCTGGTTTTGCTGTTGGCTTTGGTTTCCTTCTTTATTCTCAACTTTCTGTTGAGAACTGTTCACAGTGCAGCCTTGGAAAACCCCAAATCATCTTGTTCCCTTGAATCTGCAAATATCAACATCTGCAAGTCTTCAACAAATCTAGGATATGTGAAGAGATCTCCTAAAGGATTTAAAACAAACAAAAAACCTTGCTGAGTTTCTCATACATCCCGTGCCATGCTGCTGTGTAACAATTATCATGCAGCTACTATAGCAAGGAAAAAATAACCTTGCTCAAGATAAGCTCTGTTCTGCTTATGTGTGCTGGGACTGTATTGTTTCCAAAACACAATATTGGTGGTGTTCAAAAGGATCTGTAAATGTGGTCCGTGGTATTCAGGCTTTGGTTTTGCATCTAAACAGTGGCTGAAATAGCCTGAGGATTATTATTTTTTTTTTTCTTTGTTCATGGGCAAAGCCACAATACCTTGCAGATCCATTTCTACACTGCAGGCGTGATAAGCTTCTGGGTTTGATGCTGTTTCTGTTTCTTCTCAGGATGACATCATTGATGATGTGGAAAGCTTTGTAGCTGCTGCAGAGATCCTGAAAGAGCGTGGAGCCTACAAGATCTTTGTGATGGCCACTCATGGGCTCCTGTCTGCAGATGCACCCCGTCTCATAGAGGAATCTTCCATTGATGAGGTGGGTATCAATTTGAACTGCAGAGGAAGGCTTGTTTTTGGTGTCTGGATTGATTTAAGGCACTAAGAAATAGAAACTGAGGTTCTACCCCTGCCAATTAGCTGGTACCTGTGAAGTGATCACATGGGATGCTTTCATTTCTGGTTCTTCATAGAGAACTGTGTGATTAATAAATGTTCAGGTCAGGTTTGTGTCTCTGCATATGCATGTGGATGAGTCATCCCTGCCTGGGCATTTCCCTCAGCACAGCTGGCTGTGTGTGACTGCTTTCTCACAGTGCAGGCCTTCTGCCTCTCTCTTTTCCCCAACTGGTGCTGGGCCAATGGGTGCCTTGTGAGAAAAACAATTTGGACCTGAACCTCAGTGACAAAATATGTCAGAGCCTGTGCTCTGAATGGGCCCATCCACCTGTGTGGTGGTAGCTGTCATAGAGCGCTGGTCACAGTTGTCCTCTGAACAGATGGGCTGTCACTTGGGGGGCACCATTTAATTTAATTGCTAATCCACATGGATTCCTCAGCCTGTGAAGCTGCAGGTGTGCACTGCTCCTGGAGCCAAGCTGGGATAGCAACTCAGTGAGAACGAAGGATCAGCAACACAGCTGATGGTCTTTTCTTTCTGGCACTCCATAGGTGGTGGTGACCAACACAGTTCCTCATGAGGTACAGAAGCTGCAGTGCCCCAAGATAAAGACTGTGGATATCAGCTTGATTCTCTCTGAAGCCATCCGACGAATCCACAACGGGGAGTCCATGGCCTATCTCTTCCGCAACATCACTGTTGATGACTAGACCTGACCCTGCCCCTGTCCTGGCTTCCACAGGAGAAGGAAAAATGCATGAAAAGGCAATACCATAAATTATAGGCATAACACAACCGTTTATTCTTGTAGGAAGGGTGAGAGTTCTCAGGGTCTTGAGCCATGAGATCCAATAGAAAAAGATCAACCTGACCAGCACTTTACAGTTGAACAGAAAAGGCCACTGGCAGTGGGGAGGGTTTACAACTTAGAGAGAAATGGAGAAATGAGGAAGGTTTGAATTTTTAAACTCCTTTTTTTTTTTAATTTTTTTTAGCGTTATCTCTTGCTCTGAAGGGTGGGGGGGAGAAGAAAAGTGAGAAAAGAATAGCTGTCAGTTTCTGAGAAAGGAATAGAGAGCACTCGTTGCTGCAAGAGGAAGCAACATTTGGGTTTCTGTTTCTGACTGTGGCTTGCCTGAGAAAGCACAGAAAGGAACATACTGAGGCTGCTGGGCTGCACCACTCACTGCTGGCAGAGCAGAGTGCCAGCTGAGCACCCTCTGATCTCTTGCATGGCATACTGAGTGCTTTGATCAGATCCAAGTTAACAGAACAGCCAGAAAGGGCAGCTCAGGTCATATCACTGCAGGGCTGCTCGGGTCCCTGTGACTGGGCACTGGGAACAAACTCACACGTACCTCCCAGCAGGGCAAGGGGTGCTGGGCCATTTCATTTTGTGAGCCTTGGGTCATTATTGTGCTTCAGTGGAAAGTCATGTGAGGCTGTGGGTCATCACTTGAACACTTGTCTGCACTGCAAAACCAGGCATGATTCCTGGAGCTGCCTGAAGTTACTGAATGAGGGCAGAATCTTCTCGGGGAGGGGGTTGGAACAGCATCTGCCTCCAGCACAGCTGAGCTCTCTGAAACAATAACACTCAACCTGCAATAAAAAGCATAGGATTTCTCATTTTTTGGTGTGTGCAGTGACCCCTTTGCCCTCTGAACAGCTGCTGTGTCTGAACCATGAGGCTTTTGCTGTAAGTAGGCTCTCTCAGCAGCTTCTAGCCTTCTTCCATAGGGAAGCAGGACTTGCTACTGGCTCCTTTCTTGAGTGACACAAATCCTTGGCTGGAGGGGATGCTGGAGAAAGCAGTGTGCTGTGCTTGTGGAGAGCTTCGTCTCCACGTTGATACAAGGATAAATTCCCAAACTGTGATCTTCCCCCTTAATGAGGCAAATAAACGTGCTCCCATGAAACCTGTAATACTTTCTAGCTTGGTGGTGTGATGAACAAACCCTGCAGCAGGCAGCGTGCTGGTGGAGTGCTGTCTCTCCTGTTGGAGTTTCACTCATTCTTCTGTGTCAGGGACTGGAATCTGAACAGTGCTATGGGGCAAGCAGGGATGCTGTGAGCAGGGAGAGCCTTCAGTGCTTGCAAACAAACCTGCCTGAGCTGTAGGGGTTTGTTTTGCAGGATAACGCCCTGTCTTAGAGTCAGGGAGGAGGTGGGAAAGCCCAGCCCTGAGAGCAGTGAGGTCTTGTGTGGGATCCAGCACCCCTCCTGCAGGGGCTGTGCAGGGCTGGAGGAGCTCTTTAGGTCTGGAGTTTGTAATGCAGTCCTGGGCTGAAGCATTGCTGAGTGGAATGGCTGAATGCCTGTGCTGGGCTGAGCTCCATCCCGTGAGCTGGGCTTCAGGATAGGATCAGCACTGCTTTTCTGTTCCCTTCAACCTGCTGTCCCAGTGCAGGTCTAGCACTGAGCCTGCTCCCCCCTTTCCCACTGCCTGAACCCCCCATGGGCTGTCACCATAGCAGTGCTGCTGTGCTCTTCATGCTACAACGTGACCCTGTGCCCTCACAGCGCTCACAACTCCTGCACGCGCTGGGTGCTTCCTACAGCATGAATGGACCCTGCATGGCATCGAGCTGCTGCTGATGGCTTTACCAGGTGCTGGAGCTCAAGGTTAGACAGAAAGCAGCTCGGCACGCTTGTTTCCCATTCCCTTATTTTTGCTCTGATGCTGTAGATCCCTGCTGAGTACTGAGCTGTGCTGCCTGGGGGGAGGGAATGGCATCTGCCGCCTCCCAACCCAACCTCGGCGGGGAGGCATTGCAGCAGCGCAGTCGTGTCCCTGTGGGCTGCGTGAATCCCCGTTCCCCCGTTGCATTGAAGTGGAAATGAGCCCTGCGCGGTGACAACGCGCAGCTCCGGGTCACCGCGTCGCGTAGCAACGGGGAACGCTCCGCTCCCGTCTCCAGTAAACACCGACACGTGGGCGGCGGCCGCGGCCAATGAGCTGCCGGACGCGGAGGGCGGCGGCCAATGAGAAGGGGGAAGGGGGCGGGCTCAGTGCGGGGGGCGGGGCTAATGCTGGAGCGTGCGGGGCCGGAGGTGCCGGGCGTGGGGAGGGTGCGGGCTGGGGGGGATCGGGGAACGGGGCTGGGAATAGGAGCGTGGGGAGGGGGGACAGAACCGAGCTGGGGGGTGCTGGGGAGATGTGGAAGAGGCTGAGCCTTTGGGGGCAGCGGTAAGGAGGGCTCCCCTACAACCGGAGCCCTGCCCCGGGGGGCACTGCGCTGCCCGCCTTCTGCTACGGGTGGGATTCAGTCGCTGAGCGCTCTGCCCCCTCACCCTGAAGCCCCCCAACCCCCGCAGGCCGCTCTCCGTTCCTCGCGGCGATGGCCTCACTCAGTCTATCCGAGTTGCTGGACGCGGCCATCGGGACGCCCGAAGTTGGGGCCGTCAATTTCACGGCGCTGCACAGCCTGCTGCGCGCCATGCTGCAGCACCTGGGAATGCAGCACCTCCCGGCCGCGGGGCGGGCAGCACCCGGGGAGCATCCCGAGCAGAGGGGCACTGCGAGCAGCTCCACGGCCCCCGATGTGCTGAAGGAGGAGGGTGAAGGAAAGGATAGAGATGACTTCAGGGGCTCCAAGGTAAAGGTTTTGTGGGGTGCTGTTCTGTAGGTTGGTTTTTTGTTGGTCTCAAACCACTGTTTGATGCAGCTGGGCACTAAGAGGTCCCCAGCACAGCTGTGGGGTTCCCCACCTCCTCTCCCTTGCAGGCTGTGCCCCTCTCCCAGGACCTCCTCGAGGAGCTCGGTGGGATGAAGGCAGCGCAGTCCCAAATGGGAGAGGACCTGCGGATGATTAAGGGGATGCTGGGCCTGGTGAGTCACCCCCATCACCCCCATCCACCCCTGCCCCACTCCACATAGCCCCACTGCTGCACCCCTGCTCGCTCCCCACCCGGCTGGGCTGTGGGTGAGGACACCCAGCCTGAATCCCTTTGGGGTGGTCCTGTTAAATCCTGCTCTGTGCTGCCTTCTCAGGAGGATGGCCAGGACACCGCAGCACAGCAGTTGGGCCGCCGTGGTGGAGTGAGGTCAGACAGCGATGTGGGACGGCCACGAAAGCACCTTGAGCCCGCGCTGGTAGGAGTGGATGTACCAGGGCACATGGCACAGTGCTCCCCATGCTCCCACCCCAAGGCTCAGCCTGCCCACAAATTCTCTTCCTATGGTTTCTTCTTCCTAGAGAGCTGACAGGGACCGACTTTCATCCACCGAATCCTCTGAGTCTGATGATGACACCCAACATGAGGATGGCCTGAGGAGACCCGCGGGGGGACCGGGGACACAGTCTGTGCCCAGGACTGGCAAAGAGACTGCAGGAACACAGCCTGACTCCCTGGGGGCACAAGCAGGAAGGAGGAGGGCATCACAGACTCCTGAGAAGTGGGCAGGCACTGCCTCAGATCAAGCGGGGACATCTGGTGCTGCTGCCACCACCCCAGGGACACAGCCAGGGTCCCCTGGCACCCAGGTCACCACTCCAGGGATGCAGCCGGGGTCCCCTGGAGCACAGCCCATGACCCTGGGGACACAGCCGGGATCCCCTGGTACCCAGATCACCACCCCAGGGACACAGCCAGGGTCCCCTGGCACCTTGGGGACACAGCCAGCACCCCCGTGGTCCCAAGGAGGAGCAGTGGGGGCTCAACCAGCCCCCCCCAGCACAGCACCCCACACTCAGACCGCCCCCTCCAAAGCCACCCCTGGTGCCATGGGGACAGGGGTGGATGATGTGCGCTCCAAGGGCAGAGGTGAAGATTTGCAGCTCTTATCACCCACTGCTCTGGGTGCTGAGACGTCCCCTGGCATCGACACCGGCTCCGCATCCCCTGCACGAGGGCTGGCAGTGCCTGAGGTCTCTGGCCATGACGTGGGGACAGTGGAGGCTCTCAAGCAGCTCAGCCACCTCTGCAGTGCCCTGGAGGAGCGGGTGGCCCAGCTGGAGGCCACAAAATCAGACCGTACGGAACTGGAGGAGCTGCGTCTGCCTTTCCTGGAGGGAGGTGGGAACCCATTGTGCCCTACAGGTGGTGGTGATGGGGGTCTGGGGGCTCAGCCCAGTGGGTTGCGTTCTCTGCATTGAACTGGAGGGGGTTTCTCAATGGGAGCACCTGGAGGTGAGGTTTGGTTGCAGCTGGAGCCAGACCCTGATGGCATCACATCCCTCCAGGCCAGGAGAGCATCGCCAGCGTGCTGAGCGACCTGCGGCACCGCATGTCTGCACTGCAGGGCATGGCCAGCGACCTGCATGGAGAGAAGGAGAAGGTGAGTGGGCAGCAGTGCTGGGCTGGGCAGGGAGAGGTCACCAAAGGACCCACACAGACGCATGGACCACGTGCTACTGCTGTTCCCAGATCAAGCAGCTTCAGGATGCCTTCAGGAAGCTGGGGGTGATGGGAGCCGATGGGAAAGTGGACGGCAGCCTGCAGCTGGGGTAAGAAAATGAGAGAGGGTCTGCTGCTCCCAGGAGCACAACAGTTTGGGGGTGAGGGCCAGGAGTGGGTTTCATCCACGCGCCCATCCTGCTGGCTAGGTCTGTGCTGCAGGAAATGAGGAGGGAGCTGAAGGAACTGAAGGAGAAGCAGGATGCAGCCAGAGCCATGCTGGAGCAGCTGGTGGCCAACACTGCCAACCGCCTGCAGGAGCAGGTGGGGATGTGAGGAGGGGGCACGGGGCTGTCCTTGTAGGGACGACCCTCGGTGCCATCACAGCACCCTTCTCCCTTACAGCTGGATGAGCTGCGCTCCGTGCTGGGCAGCACCACGCCGGCCATGCAGCCCCCCAGCAGCGCAGAGCAGGACGAGGCCCCGTGCCCGGTGTGCAGCACAGATGTGGGGGCACAGCTGGGGCGGCTGCTGCACCGCTACGAGCAGCTCCAGGAGTTGGTGGAGTCGGTGTCAGCACGGCAGGCAGCGGGCAAGGCGGGCAGGCAGCGGGTGGGCAGAGAGCAGGTAGGGAAGTGCTGCACCCCAGCCTGGGTTTGCTTTGGGGCACTTTGGGTTTGATGTCGCAACCTCCGGCCTGATAACCCTGTGTCTGCTCTGTGTGGCTCCTGTTGTGCATCCTTCACATGGCGCTGGGCTGCTGCCTTCCTCCCCAAAGCAGGATGAGGAGCTGCTGAAGCACATCCAGGCTGCCATCACTCGGGTGCAAGGCGACTGCGAGAAGCTCAGCTCTGTCACTGGGAACCTCATGGATGATCGCCACCAGAGGCAGAGGGACATTGAGGTGGGGCTTGAAGCATCCTGCAGGCAGCCCCACTCCTTGTAGCCCTACAGAAATCGCAGAGGTGTAGGGGAGCAGGGGAGGTGGCTGTGAGCGGGGCCGTTCTGTGTTTGCAGGCTCTGTTCCAGTCCCTGGAAAGGCTGGAGAAGGAGAAGGTGGACAAGGAGGAACTTGTGCTGGAGATCGACGTGGTAAGATGTCAGAGCATCCCTGTGCTTTGCAGTGTGGGAAGGGAGAGTGGCAGGGCCAGGACCTCATGGTTTTCTGCCATCTCCACATCTCAGAAAGCCGACAGAGCCGCCCTGGCCGGCAAAGTCAGCTGTGCCCAGTTTGATGCAGCCATGGAACAGCTGAACGGAATGATCGGGGAGATGCTGAGCAAGGTGACAGGGCAGGAACAGGACTGGCACCAGGTCCAGCAGAAGCTCATTGAGGAACTGGACTCCAAGGTACAGGGAGGGTCGTGTGTCCCCCCCCCGCAGAAGGAGTGGGTTTGAGCAACCCACTGAGCACGGTCACCCCTCCTGCCTTTCCCCGTCCCTCCTGCCTCCTTCTGGGGGCACTATGGGGACTCGAAGGCTCTGTGCCCACCCCCAGTTGGATCGCCTGGAGTTGGCCCCGCTGCGGCAGCAGCTGGAGGAGCGCTGGAGGAGCATCCTGAAGCAGCTCAAGGAGAAAACGCCGCGGCTGGAGGCTGACGATGCTGCTGGGATTCGGAAGTGGGTGCACTGGGGACAGCTGGGGGCAATGCTCTCTCCATTTGGAGATGGAATTTGTGCCTTTTTCTGCCTGTTTTTTTCCTGCACGCAGTCCTATGTGCCTCCTTGCTGCACCCAGGAGCCAGGGGCAGGGGTTTAACACAGGATCATGACACGAGGCCCTTAAATTTGCCACGCTTGCTGTCAGACAGACCCCACAGCACAGACAGGGTTTCCATTACCCCTTTGCTGGTTTCCTTGGGATTCAGGTGGCAGAACTTGTCCCAAGCTCCTAGAGACGGGAGAGATGCATGGAATACATGGACCCACGGGACTTGTGGCACCCCGAGTGCCCCCCTTTTGCAGCCACATTCCCAGGCAGGACCCCACAAGTCCATCCCTTCTGCAGCACCCGATGCTGCCACCGACCCCTGATCTCCCTGCAGGCAGCTGCTGGCCCATTTCCACTGCGTGTCCTGCGACCGACCCCTGCACATGCTGGTGCCTGGACCGTGAGTTCTGGGGCGTTCGGATGCTCCCTGGGTTTGGGGTGGGTGCTGGAGGTGGGACCCTGCCTTGTGTTGTCCTACCCGGCTCTGAGCTGGCAGCAAGGCATGCGGTCACACACCTGCAGGACACCGGGGGATGGATGCAGGGCAGCGTGGCTCATTGCCCCCCATCACCCTCTCTCTGTCCTCCAGACACATTGTGACCATTCCACCACTGCCACCGCTGCCTTCCCGTGTCACTGTGCGTCCCCGTGCCACCTGCCAGCCGGAGCAAGGCCACAGGTGGGGGACGTAGGGATGAGGGCATCATTCATGGCACGGAAGTGGTCCCAGCCCTGAGCATCCATCCCCACCCTGCAGGGAGCAGGGAGCCCAGTGTGGGTTCCTGCAGGTGCCGCGGCACTGCGGGGGGCAGCACACCGTCACCCACCCACTGCAGCGCTGCCCACGACCCCCACATTTCCCACCCTACGGCCCCACACCGCCACAGCCCCATGGCAGCATCACCAAGGAGGTAGGAAATGGGACGTCTGTAGGAAATGGGACGTCTGTAGGAAATGGGACGTCTGTAGGAAATGGGACGTCCGTGGAGGTGGAGATTTGGGATCTCGTGGAGGGAGGGATCTGGGACCACTAAGGAAGGAGGGATGTGGGATCACCAAGGGGGCACGGATCTGAGGCTGAGCAACTCTGGAAGGCATCAGCGTGCCTCAGTTTCCCCAGGGAGAGCTGTACATGGGCAGATCGAGGGGGAAGTTGCATCCACATGGGTGTTTCACCCAGCTCTACCATTGTGCTCCATAAACATTTCCTATATCCTCACGGACAGCTGCAGGCTGCCCTGGGGAGATGTCTGATGGGTGATGGTGTTCTCTGCTGGGGATGCTCTGGGGGCTGTGGGTCAGCTGGGAGCACGGTCCCCACGGTGCTGGGGGGCTCCTGCCTGAGCTGTGCAGCCAGCACTGGCACTGCTCCCTGTTCTCTTTCCCAGCACGGCGAGATGGAGCTGCTGGGCCAGGATGGGCACATCTACAAAGGCCGGTGGGAAGCTCAGCTGCCTGTCCTCGCAGGGAAGGAGGGTACAGCTGGGGTGTGGGGTAATCCTGCTGACCCTAAATCTGCAATGGAAGGACCCCAACCGCTCTCATATTCTCCCTCTCTGGTCTCTCCAGGCTCACCGAGGGATAAACCCAAGCTGTCCCCCAGGCACTGGGGTGCTCAGGACACCAACTTCCTACCCGTGCGGCCCCAAAGTGCCCTGTCCCCACTCAGCCAGCCAGGTATGGCCCTGGGGACATCAGGGCGAGGAGGGCACTGAGGTGTCCTACGGCAGGATGGGGTGATGGGAGGGTTTGTGTTCACAGTTTGGCAGGGTGGGATGGGGGATTGGGGTGTGGGCAGAATGGGAGGGTGAAGACTTGCATAGAACAGGACGGGTCCTGGACCCAGTGCCCATCCTGACCCCAAAGCCGAGGCCTTCAAGTGGGCACATTAACCCCTGTGCTCCCCCCAGGCACCCCCAGGCTGCAGGAGAAGCGCCCAGTGTCATCCCACGGCCGCCTGCCCCACCTCTGGCCACCACAGGGCAGAGAAGAAAGCCCCACAGCAGAGAGAAGAGGGGGAACCCCCTCTGAAACCCACCCATGGGCACCGGGTGGACCCACGGGCTGCAGCCAGTAGCAATAAAGAGCAGTGGATGAGATGCATCTGCATAGTCAGGGTAGAGATGGGGTTGGTTTTGCCTTCAGCATCCCTCTTCTGTTTGTATGGACACCTTGTCCTTCACTACCTCCATCCTTCCATCCATCCTTCCATGCATCCATCCATGCATCCATCCATGCATCCATTTATCCATCCATTTATCCATCCACCCATCCATCCACCCACCCATCCATCCATCCATCCATCCACCCACCCATCTATCCTTCCATCCATTTATCCATTTATCCATCCACCCATCCATCCATCCATCCATTTATCCATCCATCCATTTATCCATCCATCCATTTATCCATCCATCCATTTATCCATCCATCCTTCCACCCATTTATCCATCCACCCATTTATCCATCCATCCATTTATCCATCCATTTATCCATCCATTTATCCATCCATTTATCTATCCATTTATCCATCCATCCATCCATCCATCCATCCATCCATCCATCCATCCATCCATCCCTACTCCTCGCTGCCCATGCCTGCATGGGGCTGGGCCTGACACCCCTCCAATTAGCCCCCCTAATGCAGATGCAGTGGGACACAGGGTTGGGATTTTCCCATCTTACACTCAGAGCAGCATCATACAAACGCAGCATCCCTTATCCTGAGCCCCAAAGGGGTGAATACCCACACAGGGCACCCCCCACCCCACCTGCTCCCAGTGCAGGAGCTGGGACTCCGTGTCCCTGGGACTCCTTGTCCCTGCCTCGCCACGTTGGAACCTGAAAGTCCATTTACTTAAATCACACTTTACAAGGCTCTGATTTACTGCTGTGGTGGATTGCAGCTGCTCTGTGCTGGTCTGACCTCCCAGGACGTGTTTGTTTGAGGTTTGTTTTCCATGGGGGAAGGGGAGTGACACTATGAAGGCAGGATGGTGCTGGGAGGGTGGGGGGAGGCACCAACAAATGGGTCTGAGGTTCCACAGTGCAAAAAGAGGAGAAACTCAGAGCAAAGCCCATCAGGAGGTTAAAGCCCAGCTGGGAGACAATGCTGAGCTCAGCCCCCCCAACCTGTGGGTGCTCAGCCCCTCCCACCCCATCAGAACCCACCCACACTGTTGGTCCCATAAGCACCAGCATCCCTTCAACCCCAGTGCTGCTGTGCTCAGAGCAGGTAAGCAGACCTGCATGGACTTTGCTTTTCCTTTGTGGAGCATCCCTGTCCCTACCTGTGTGTCCCCAGACCCGCTGCATCCCACGTTTGGGGGGGGTTTCACCCCATTTTCTCATTGCATGCTGAGCTGGGGGCTGAATTGGAAAAGAATCCCAAGGTTGGGGCTGTGGTTGGAAGGGAGCCAGTGTTCCCCCAGCAAAGAGAAGAGGCAGGGACAGCTGCTGTTAAAAAAGTGATTATTATTATTTTTTTTTTAAATTCTTTTTAAATTAATAAAAAACCTTTGAGCTGTTTTCTGTTGTTTTCTGTCGGTTGTTTTTTGTTTTTTTTTTTTTCCTTTTTTCTTTTCGGTCTTTTTGTCTTTTTTTT